AGAGCTCTATGTTATATAATTTAAAAAGAATTAAATTACGCAATGTCAGATTTAAATCGAATAATAGAATTGACTGGAGATAAAAAAAGCTATATTGATAAAGAATGCTTGTTAGCTTTGAAAACATCAACTGTAGGTCCAGAAGAATCCTAATCGATGATGATTCTGAAATTATCACAAGGATCAAATAAATAAGTCAATTTCAGATTAGCATCTTAGATGCTTAAGAAGTTGATTGTTTTAGGTTCAGATGGCCATGTATTTTTAACATCGGATCTAATATTTTATAGAGGAATAATGAAATTTTACTTAGGTAACTATAAAAAAGCTATGGATTTATGGACAAAATCATATGGGTTAAAATAATAAATAAAAGAATTTAGTCAATAATCTAATAATTCGTTAATTTCATAGTAAGAACAATAAGAGAGATTAATTAGTGAATTAGATGAGTTGGAATTTGAGGATAGAACATATAATATGTATGAATACTATTACAATGTTGCTATTGCTACAATATTAGTAATATATATATTTTATCTAAGAATAAATAAAAAAGAAAAGGCAAAGAGTTATTGAATTAATTAGCCGATCAACTTTAGGAATCATTTGAAACTACAATTCGAGATTTTCTTGCAGCATTAGACTCAACTTAAACTAAAAGTGCAACCATTTTTCCCTATTCAAATAGATTATGCTGCATTTTCCCAACTTTTAAAATTGGGAATTTAGAAACCAGACTTTCCTTTTGTTTGCCTAGAATAACTCCTCCATCTATGAATCCAGAATTTGATAATAAATTAATTGAAGGAATTCAAGTAATTCTAATTATTCGATTACAATAGTATAGTCTACAGACGTGGACAACAAACCGGAGGCGCCATGGATTAGAAGAAATCCTGATGGAGTGATATTTACAGAAAATGTACAATAGGTTGAATTAGATTTAAGAAGCGAAAGCTAGAAATCATAAATTGATCACAATTAAGAAGAAGAAAATGATGATGAAAATTCAGAATAGTAATTTTATTAATCCTATATCTAGACATTAAATTTCCATTAATGATGATAAAATCACTATAGAATAACGACATTAGGATGATTCAACAACATATCAAACTAACTATAAAAAAGATATTGAGTTACTTAAGTAATAACTGAGACTTGATAGAATTGTTGAATAACGATTAGCAAAATTAAAATGAAACCTATATATATCATATATCAATTTATATTTAAGTAATATAAAATTACATGTTAGTGGCATGAAACTTATAGCATTCATCACGATTTAATAATCCCAATAGAGAGAAGAATTTATAACCGTATTTATACATTTTTTATGTGAAAATTTTGAAGAAGTTGTAATTTTTTCTAACTTTATGGAAATTTGATTTCTTGTGAATATGTTAAGTTGATTATAACGATCCCTGATATCCTACATAGAATCAAATATAAAGAATAGGAATACATAAAGGATTAATATTTGAGGAGATAAAAATTCATCTTTCAAAATTTTATACAGCCTTACAAATTTTGATATTTATACTAAGCTTGATGTAAAGTTTAAATTAGAATAATTAGGTTAATAATAATTGTGAAATAAAAATTTAATGGAAAATACTGTTAGTTAAATTTGAAATGAAAATATTATAATGACTTAGTTTCCTGTGTTTAGAAGTTACTAACTATTCTTTTTTCATTCAAATCTTCTTAAATTAAAAAAAAATATTCATTTTTACAAAGTATTATATTGATTCTAGACAATATGATTGATCATATTTATTTCAAAGGTCATTTACAATTGAATTATGGCCATCAATTTAATTCTAATTCATTTATTTTCTTTAGAAGTTTATTCTCAAATATCCTCATAATCTTCTTGGTGCTTGTATTATTATTATTCCTATTACCAAAGTTCAAGATCTTATTCTTCTTCTTTTTTTTTTGATATTTTAATGCATGTCATAATATTGATTCCATTATTTATATTATATAGCCGATGGATAAAACCCATGCTGATGCTATTTTTCTTACATCATTATCAATTATTCTTAATCATAATGATTATTAATGTTTCTAGATGATTTTGGCACAATTAATTCTCTCAATTATTTGAATATTTTTGAAGTTTTTTCATCATAGATGAAGTCATTATACCTTCAAACTATTAAAGAAATATTGTTTAAGTTGTATGTTCTTATAGAGACCAATGTCCAGTTTTCATATGTTCTTTTTTTTTGGCTACTTTACTTATTAATACAATCCTTTTGATTTTTAAGTTTGTCGAGACCCTTCCTATAATCCTAAAGCATCATAATTTGAAATAATATCAGACTAAAGTTGAGGTAAAGGGGTCCCTTAACAATAATGATAAATTTATTAAGGAACAGCTTATTATTTAACTCTGCAAATAATTTAATAATAAAGTACAGTTATTCATTCTGAAATTGTGTTTAAGCAGGATGATCAATAAGTTATTTTCTGACTCTTTAGATTTTAGTAATCTTCCTTTAGAATCAGTATTTCTTTAAATCATCAACAATAGAATACTAGATCTTTGTTTTTTTTGGTTTCTGCTCATTAGTTATTTTCTATTCATGAAAACCATCAATAGGGTAAGCAGAGATAGGAAGAGGATAAGAGAACTAAGTAAAATAAGCAAGTTAATTGTAGTTTGAACAAGGTAAAATTTCTTGCTACTTTAATTGAATCAGATTAATTTGCATTTCTGGGTCTAATTAAAAGTCTATTTGCTTGTCAGCTGTAAAATAATATGGCTACATAGTATGAAATGCAATAAATTTAATATATTATAATAATTTCAAAAGTTTTATTATTATTTAAATAATTTCATTATAAATAGATTTTCTCTTTTTGTTCTTAATTGAAAATTTTAATTATTCTAATTCTTTTTTGTTTAATTTTACAATTATAATCCCCAAGAAATAGATAATAAGAAGTTGGTCTCCATACTATATATTCATTGTATTAATTTTACAAAATCTGATTTAATTTTGAGTATTATCTATGAACAATTAGTTATGGAAATAACAAACAAGTTAAAAGTAGAGGAATAATGACTTTATAAAGTCTAACTTTTATTTGTAAAATATTCATTGAATGGGTCAAACTAATAATTTATGAATAGAATATCATTTATTTTAAGATTTCAAGTCATTAAATAAATAAATGTAGAAATTAGAGACAAATACTATTATCTTGCTTCCTTAATTGTAAAGTTGGAAATGATCCAGAAAAATTTACAATTTTTATCTTTTTCAAAAGCATTAGTATATAATCTCTATTACTATTTGTAGGCGGTTTTTCTTTTAAGAATGGCTAATAAATTACTTTTCTTTTAAATTTCAATCTTTTATATAATGGATTAGTAAATAAAATAAATCCTATTATGGTTCAAGTTGTATAATTGAAATAATTTAATTATAACAGGTGAAATATTTGGTTCTTTTCATTGAATTTATAATTTACTAATAAAATGGGTCCTTGCATATCTCAACATCCAGTCTCAACTGAAATTGATAAACGAGGAAGTGTATGCTTAGAAGAAGGTTAACTTCANTTTGAAGTTTTTTCATCATAGATGAAGTCATTATACCTTCAAACTATTAAAGAAATATTGTTTAAGTTGTATGTTCTTATAGAGACCAATGTCCAGTTTTCATATGTTCTTTTTTTTTGGCTACTTTACTTATTAATACAATCCTTTTGATTTTTAAGTTTGTCGAGACCCTTCCTATAATCCTAAAGCATCATAATTTGAAATAATATCAGACTAAAGTTGAGGTAAAGGGGTCCCTTAACAATAATGATAAATTTATTAAGGAACAGCTTATTATTTAACTCTGCAAATAATTTAATAATAAAGTACAGTTATTCATTCTGAAATTGTGTTTAAGCAGGATGATCAATAAGTTATTTTCTGACTCTTTAGATTTTAGTAATCTTCCTTTAGAATCAGTATTTCTTTAAATCATCAACAATAGAATACTAGATCTTTGTTTTTTTTGGTTTCTGCTCATTAGTTATTTTCTATTCATGAAAACCATCAATAGGGTAAGCAGAGATAGGAAGAGGATAAGAGAACTAAGTAAAATAAGCAAGTTAATTGTAGTTTGAACAAGGTAAAATTTCTTGCTACTTTAATTGAATCAGATTAATTTGCATTTCTGGGTCTAATTAAAAGTCTATTTGCTTGTCAGCTGTAAAATAATATGGCTACATAGTATGAAATGCAATAAATTTAATATATTATAATAATTTCAAAAGTTTTATTATTATTTAAATAATTTCATTATAAATAGATTTTCTCTTTTTGTTCTTAATTGAAAATTTTAATTATTCTAATTCTTTTTTGTTTAATTTTACAATTATAATCCCCAAGAAATAGATAATAAGAAGTTGGTCTCCATACTATATATTCATTGTATTAATTTTACAAAATCTGATTTAATTTTGAGTATTATCTATGAACAATTAGTTATGGAAATAACAAACAAGTTAAAAGTAGAGGAATAATGACTTTATAAAGTCTAACTTTTATTTGTAAAATATTCATTGAATGGGTCAAACTAATAATTTATGAATAGAATATCATTTATTTTAAGATTTCAAGTCATTAAATAAATAAATGTAGAAATTAGAGACAAATACTATTATCTTGCTTCCTTAATTGTAAAGTTGGAAATGATCCAGAAAAATTTACAATTTTTATCTTTTTCAAAAGCATTAGTATATAATCTCTATTACTATTTGTAGGCGGTTTTTCTTTTAAGAATGGCTAATAAATTACTTTTCTTTTAAATTTCAATCTTTTATATAATGGATGAGTAAATAAAATAAATCCTATTATGGTTCAAGTTGTATAATTGAAATAATTTAATTATAACAGGTGAAATATTTGGTTCTTTTCATTGAATTTATAATTTACTAATAAAATGGGTCCTTGCATATCTCAACATCCAGTCTCAACTGAAATTGATAAACGAGGAAGTGTATGCTTAGAAGAAGGTTAACTTCAGGAAAAGGATAAGCCGCAAGAAGTTTAAGCAGAAGCATAACCATTATCATCTTATGATGAATAGAATGTTATTAAAATTTAATCAGGATTTAGAGGAATGAAAGCAAGAAAGGAAGTAAGATCCAATACCAATATCTAGGCTGGGCAAGAAAAAGAGTAATTGGAAAATACAAAACCAAAAAATGATAATATTAAGCCTTATAATGGAACTGTAGAATCCTGCAATGATTTCATAAAAGAGAAATAACTTGTACATGGAGAATATAATTACAATACAATTTATGATGAATAATTCTTAAAATCAAGATTTTTAACTCCTTATGTAAAAAATTAGTTTATTTCAGCTATTAGAAGATGGTTCAATTTATGAGGGATAATGGATGAATGGATTGAGGGAAGGCAGAGGAAAATTGATTTATCCTGATGGTTCTATTTATGAAGGCTACTTTTTATAAGACTATTAACATCTTCATGGAAGATTAATTATGGCATCAGGAGATTTTTATGTATAGAATGATATTTAGTAAATAGTAAGGGGATTTTAAGTATGGCTAAATAGAAGGCAATGGGACATATAAATATGCTGATGGTACAAAATATGAAGGTGAGTTCAAAAATAATAGGCAAAATGGTTTTGGCAAAGAAACATGGCCTGATGGAACAAAGTATGAAGGAAGTTATGATAATGGAGTTAAATATGGAACAGGCCGATTTTAATGGACAGATGGATCGATTTATGAAGGCAGTATAGTAAATGATTAAATGGAAGGTATCAATTTATATTCATTAATTTTAGGATATGGAACCTTTGTATGGGCTGATAAGAGGAAATATAATGGTAATTGGAAAAATAGTATGATGAATGGTCAAGGGGAATTATTTTATCCTGATGGTAGATATTACAAAGGTAGAATAAAACTGGATATTATTTTAGGTTAATTTCAAAATGATCTTAGAAATGGGGATGGGACATTCTTTTATAATGATGGAACAAGTTATTTTGGACCATGGAAAAATGATAAATAACACGGAAAAGGAACTAGAAAATAAAAAGGAGGTCAGGATGAAGAGTAAGAATGGAATAATGGATCTAGACTAATTTGAAGAATCGAACAAAAATTATAAATATTGTAATATTAATTTATAATATTTTATTAACGTATGCAATTCACTCCCGACACTCGGAATGTGGGAGGGCGATAATTAATATTATCCCAATTTTGGGGTCATAGATTATGCCTTTAATAGATTAAAGAAAGGCATTTAAATACAGAGATTAAATGTTCATTTCTAAAGAAGAATGAAAATTCAAAACTTCCCATTTCTACAAGAATAAATGATTTCAACATGGTAATTCATAGAAAAAAATTGTAAAACATTAAGGAATGTTTAACAGATAGAAGTAATAAAGAGCCTTCTTATTTTTTCAGAAGATTGCCTTCTCCTTAAAGTCTAAATTCAAATTCAATCTTTAATAAACTAACTATGATAAAATCCAAATCTACATAAGATAAACTGTAAAATGGAAAAATAATGCCTCCTCCAAAAATAGATATCGAAAAATTTATACCGTAGAATACCAAAACCTAAATTAGTTGGATTAATTTAATTAATAGTTTACACGGTCCTCAATATCCGCTTAAAAGGTGGATAAAAGAGTTGGCCATTGAAAATAGGATATTTGATGAAAATGATTTTGCAATTTTAATCAGAATTCTAGTCAAAGCATATTAAATTAAGTAAACAACATTAGTCAGTTTAGTGGCAGAAATTATAGAAGAACTTGAAAAATGAGGATATTTAAAATAGCTCAATGAATCTATTACTACAAAAATACAATATTGTTTGACTAAAATAAAGTATTAAATATCTATATGAATGCATTTATTATTCTTCTAAAATCATGGTCAATTTTGAAATTTACTTATTTTATTATCATATTAATATATATCCAATCAAATTAGTAAACAAGTGCTTGACCTTGAAAAAAAATAAAAATGACAATATTTATTTTTATTTTTAATATAGATGCTATTCAAAATTTCAAGGTATTTTAGTAAATAAACTTCATAAAAAACAAAACAAATATTTGATAGAGAGAAACATATTATCAATAGATAATATGCTTTAAGAACAAAAATTGAAAATATATTTCTAAAACAATCAAGCATTACTTTGGCTGACAATTTATCTTCTATTCGAAAATAGTATGATGGCAATATTGCCTACTTTGGACAAGGAGCTGCACAATTTTTATAAAATTTACCTAACAGTCTATAATTTAAATAATACTAGATTTATCACCTAAAACCATTTATTTATGTGATTTAGAATTGGATTTTTTAGAATATAGTTTATAATAAATCCAAAATGATGAACAATTAAAAGGGAAATTTAAAATCTTAAAAGTCTCCGAAATGACATCTTAAGATAATAAAACAATATTGGTTCCTATTTGTTGTGATGAAGATTTTTGGCCTTTTTTAGATGGTCATTTATAACTAATAGTATCAAATATGAATTTGCATTGGGTTAATGACTTGCAAGTAGTTCTAATAAAATGGCTAGAAAGCTTAGAACCAGATGGTACATTGGTTGGATCGATATTTGGTTCTGATACTCTCTAAGAATTGAGGATATCATACTCTTTAGCTGAAAACGAACGATTCGGAGGAGTTTCATAACATGTATCTCCCTTCATTTCAATTACAGAAATGGGAAATTTGCTAACAAGATTAAAATTCACTCTGCCTACAATATGCACAGAAAGAAAGTAATTGTTTTAGAAACTTTTGTAGTCTTTACGAGTTTGATTCAATCTATCATTTAATGCAATATATTTAGGATATTGGAGAAGGTGAAGCATTAATTTAAAAAAGGATAGGCACTTTTAAATAAACAATCCAAAGCGTTAGTGCTATTTATGAATCCTTATTTAAGAATGAAAATATGAAGGTTAATAGTACTTTTGAATAGATTTATTTTTCTGCTTGGAAGTATCACGAATCATAAGCTAAACCAAAATCGAGAGGTAACTAAAAATTATTACTTTTAGGTTCAGCAACTGTTTCGTTACAATAATTATAGAAAGAAATATATCAAATAGCACCTGAAGATAAAATTATATTTGGAACTTTAACAGAGGATGATTATTAAGAAAATATCATTAAAGATGAANAAAAATGACAATATTTATTTTTATTTTTAATATAGATGCTATTCAAAATTTCAAGGTATTTTAGTAAATAAACTTCATAAAAAACAAAACAAATATTTGATAGAGAGAAACATATTATCAATAGATAATATGCTTTAAGAACAAAAATTGAAAATATATTTCTAAAACAATCAAGCATTACTTTGGCTGACAATTTATCTTCTATTCGAAAATAGTATGATGGCAATATTGCCTACTTTGGACAAGGAGCTGCACAATTTTTATAAAATTTACCTAACAGTCTATAATTTAAATAATACTAGATTTATCACCTAAAACCATTTATTTATGTGATTTAGAATTGGATTTTTTAGAATATAGTTTATAATAAATCCAAAATGATGAACAATTAAAAGGGAAATTTAAAATCTTAAAAGTCTCCGAAATGACATCTTAAGATAATAAAACAATATTGGTTCCTATTTGTTGTGATGAAGATTTTTGGCCTTTTTTAGATGGTCATTTATAACTAATAGTATCAAATATGAATTTGCATTGGGTTAATGACTTGCAAGTAGTTCTAATAAAATGGCTAGAAAGCTTAGAACCAGATGGTACATTGGTTGGATCGATATTTGGTTCTGATACTCTCTAAGAATTGAGGATATCATACTCTTTAGCTGAAAACGAACGATTCGGAGGAGTTTCATAACATGTATCTCCCTTCATTTCAATTACAGAAATGGGAAATTTGCTAACAAGATTAAAATTCACTCTGCCTACAATATGCACAGAAAGAAAGTAATTGTTTTAGAAACTTTTGTAGTCTTTACGAGTTTGATTCAATCTATCATTTAATGCAATATATTTAGGATATTGGAGAAGGTGAAGCATTAATTTAAAAAAGGATAGGCACTTTTAAATAAACAATCCAAAGCGTTAGTGCTATTTATGAATCCTTATTTAAGAATGAAAATATGAAGGTTAATAGTACTTTTGAATAGATTTATTTTTCTGCTTGGAAGTATCACGAATCATAAGCTAAACCAAAATCGAGAGGTAACTAAAATTATTACTTTTAGGTTCAGCAACTGTTTCGTTACAATAATTATAGAAAGAAATACATCAAATAGCACCTGAAGATAAAATTATATTTGGAACTTTAACAGAGGATGATTATTAAGAAAATATCATTAAAGATGAAAAAGGTACAAAAAAAAAAAATTGATATTATGAAAATGAATAATAAGCAAGTAAAAAATAGATATATAATTTACAATAATATTTTTACAGGCAAATATTATTTCATTCTTGAATTTAATCAATTAGATGAAATATTAGAATTAAATCTTATAAATATAAAATATATAATAATTTATTTAAAGAGGAGATGGAAGAATTTTTAAATTAAAATGATCTTTAAACTAGATTTAGTGATTATTACACATATGTTGACACTTTAGGACAAGGAGCTTTCGGTTTAGTTGTAAAAGCAGTCAATAATATCACAAAAACATAAGTAGCAGTAAAAGTAGCTAAATAAATAATAAATTAGATTATCTCAAAAGCAACTATAAAAAGATTTGAGGCTCTTGAATAAGAAGCTGCTATATTTTCATAATTAAATCATTAAAATATAGTCAAATTTTATGATATTAAACGAACAGATACTAAAATTCTGATAGAAATGGAAATCATAAATGGAGGATCATTATAAAAATTAATGGATTTTAAGAAAAAATAAAATTCATGGTTTGAAGTTAAAGAAATAAAATAAATTATTTATGGAATTCTGAGTGCCCTATCTTACATTCATGAGAATCACTTTGTTCATAGAGACTTAAAACCTGATAACATTCTAATAGGACAAGAAGTATATGTTGTTAAAATTACTGATTTTGGATTGAGTTCTCATCATAATCGATATGCTTTAATGCAAAAGAAATGTGGAACTTTAACATACATGGCTCCAGAATTATTATTAAAAAAAGTTTATAATAAAGTATGAAGGTTATTAAATTAGAATGTAGATGTATGGAGTGTAGGAGTTATTTTTTATCAATTGCTAAATAAGGGTTAGCATCCATATTTTATTAATGGATTGAATCAAGAATAATTAATTAAAAATATGTAAAATATGCATACAGAGGAAAACTTTCATAACATGGATCGGTATTCTTAATTGATTTAATATAGTTAATAGATATCTTTGTTTCAAAGAATGACTGAATTTGATTCCACTAAAAGATACAGTGCTTATTAAGCTCTACTTCATCCTTGGATAAATGAAAAAAGATAGATGATTCCATAAAATTTCACTGAAATGTTTGACCTTTGGCTTTTAACATAGAAGATGATCCTTGTTATAAAGGGTTTGATGATTATTATCCATTTAAAAAGCAATATCAGAATATCAGAGTAAAGATATCTTACTTTATCTAATAATTAATCAAAATTAACCAAAACTGATGTAAGTGATGATAATTAGGACAATTCACCATACTATTAAACATCAAATCTATTAAACTTCTTAAAGATAAGATAAAAAATTTAGAAATCAAAGTAGAGCGACTATTCTTCTACAAATGCTTCTCCTGTAATAATTAAAAGCATTGAAAGATAAGACAATAGTAATAGCGATTTATTATTCCTGCATAGTTTGGTACCAGGGAAAAAAATTGAAAAAGAATCTCCTGAAAAAAACTAAAAGGTTCAAATAAAAAGATTGGATAGTTCTACAAACAAAAATACAAAAAATAGTAGTAGCAATAGCCCATATAAATGCAACGGAAATAAAATAATTAAATTTTTACTTAAACCTTTACCTACTTAAAATGACCTTTAGAAAGAAACCTAAACTGTAGATTTATACAAAATTTAGTAAATAATTCAAGTTATTTTAGGCAAAAGGAATTTCGATACAAACAGAGTGGAATTCTCGAAAGCGATTCTTAAGGATTTAGCCCTTTCCATACAAAAACTTTTTCTTTTCATTAGAGTAGGACTACAAAATATAAAACTGATGCTTAATTTAGACAGAAAAGAATTTAGAGTACTATTGATTAGAAAAAACAAGAAAATAATTTAAATTATTTCAAAAAAAGGTGATTTTTTATTTATGAAATTATTTGTAAATGCTTATTTATAATTAAATCAAAAACTTATAAAAATATCATCATCAAAAATTAAAATTTTTGATCTTCAAACTAACTTACTATTCTATTTTTTCCTTTATTACTTAGAAATGTTTCATCTAATATTTAAAGTTTGACTTAAAACTCATTTTACTTAAGCGAGAAAATTTAATTAATTTTTATGTTTATATTATTATTAGAAAACATTTAAACAACTTAAGTTCAAGGGATATTAAAAACGGCACATATTTTAAAAAGGATGGCATTTAAAAACTATCCTATACAGGAATTTGTAAGTTATAAAATTAAAGTAACTTCAGAGGTCTATCTAATATTTTATAATCAATTTAGTTTTCTTAAGTGTGATGTTTATCGAAATTGCCATACTACTAAAATCTAAATTTTGTTTGGAAATAAAATAGTTAGGCAGTTGGGAAAATTGTTAAAATTTTCCAATTCAAAGGATGTAGATGTCATAATATGGTTGAAATTATAACAGATTATAATTGGCTTTATTAATCATCTCATAAAAATGAAAGATTTTGAAAGGTCACATATATTGAACTTTAAATTCATAAAAAGAATCTAATCCTAATTGCTAAAAGAAGTCAAAGTATAAGGTAATATCATATAAGAGGAACGGATTTTTGTTTTATTTAAAAAAAGAACATTAAAATAAGTTGATTTTGACTATTTTGACTTGTTTTTATGTATGATTATGAACAATTGAAATTTGAAATCTTTTAAATGAAGTGGTGTTGAATCTAAATAACAATTAAAAAATGGTACTCTATTTGTGAAGAGTATTTATAGCCTATTAAAGAAAATTAAAATCAAATAGACCTTTTGAAATTAAGTAAATATCTCTTTGTAAATGAAACTTAGGAAAAAATATTCATGTGCATCTTCTACATAATTATCTCAATTAATTTAAAGATGAACAAAAATGAGAAATTAAACATACTTTAGTTAGTAAGCTGTTTCAAAATGTAATAAAATTCTTGGACATCTAATAAAACTAAACTTTTCAATATTGACATATTTCATTTTCCCTAATTTACAGTAAACTTAAACTTTAATAAAAATTACTAAGTCAGAATATCCAATTGATTTTTTCATGTGATATCAAATGTCATGCTTTTTGTAAATAATTTAGAAAAATAACGAATTTTTATAATGCTTAATATTTTATAGAATTTTTGCAACAATTTTAATGAATTTTAGTCTATTTTGAACTTTTTATGGCATATGGTAGACTTCCCTATACTACTTTTCTTACTATCCTTTCTTTTTTGCAATTGAACCAAATTGCATAAAGCCTTTTGAAAACATAATCTATCCAAAGTTTTATGGTACTTTTTTCCATTATTTTAATGTTATGAATTTTTACTATTGAGAATTTTCTATAAGCTCTCAAATTTAAATTTTAATGTACAATATTATCAATCGAAAATAAATGTTAAAATTCTATTTGATTTGATGAAATTTTTGGAGAAGTAATATTTTATCCTAAATGTTCTCAATCAGATTTTATTATCCTTTTGTAGAATTCAATAATTTTTTTAGGGTCTTTACAGATATTTTATAATATTATGGTGATTTATACTCTTCATAACCTAATATAAGAATTAAATTATTATAATATAATAACATCAAATGCATTTCTAATAAGAAAATAGCACCGAAACATCTTAAAAATTAATAGATTCTGAGATTAAGCTTTCTAGAAGTCATTCAATTGACACTGTGCCTATAATGAAGTAATATAAAATCCGTGGATCAATTTTCAAATACAGGCCATCAAAGAAATCATAGGGTATTCCGAATTTATGTTCATTTCAAAATAATGAAGACCAAATAAAGTAAGAGTTTAGAGATTAAAAAAAAGGAATCATCAAATTCTTTCAATTAATCCCAAAAATCATAATAATCCATTTAGGAGTCAGAAAATTATGATATCACCAAAACGTAAGAAGTGAATTTTCAAAAAATAAGGACTAGTTTAAGTTAGCGCTTTATAATTAGAGGCCTAATTTTTTGGCTCCTAAATTATAATAAGTTTAAATCAGATAAAAAATGCTTAAAGTGGAATTAGAAATTTAAAAAAATCTAATTTTTAAAGAGAAGTTTAAATAATAGTTTTAAGCTTAACTTTACTATTATGCAAATCTTAGTAGATAAGTTAAAATAATAGAGATATTATTTAAGATAATTGCATCCTATTGGAAAAATACAAATTGATTATGATATCCTCCAAAAAGATTACTATAATTACTCTTAATTAGCAGAGAGTAAAATGTAAATAATATTGGATTCCTTCTAAATCGATTATATTCACAGAAAAAATAATATCGCTTTAGGAAATATTAGATTTTTATTTTAAACTCCACAATTCCCTGAGTTTGATTATGTTTTTCCTGGTGGAAAATTTAAAGATTTATAGTTTTATGATTTTGATGTCTTTATTTTAGAAAATTTCAAATAAGAAAATAATTTAGATGATCCTATATTGTAGTTTGTTAAATAAAACAGGGAGCAGCCTAGTGAAAGAGCAATGATTCTATGGCTTCTAGTGGATGTCGAATAAAGAAAACCATATTTTAATAGTTAAAAGAAAATTAAAGAACTGTCATTTATAATCTGATAAACTGAAAGCGATATATTTGGAATTACACGATGATATTTGGAAGTACCTGTAACATCTGAGAAAAGAGTGTGTGACCATTGTGTTAGTATGATGAGCAAAATTCCAGTTTAATATATCCTAAATAAGTTTTAAGACTTAACAAAAATTGAAATTGATTTTTAATTTCATTTTATAATTCTTTCCCAAAATTTTGATGATCCATAATTAGAAAACAATAAAGGCCAAAAGTAAAAATCTAAGATTTGGGTGTATATGGAATAAAATTAAGAAGAAAGTCAGATTGTTTTATAATAAGATATTTTAGACTATCTGCTTTGTTATGAGGAATAAGAACAAACTGGCCTAGTTTCGATATTGAGGATATTAAAGTAAATTGGTTTTAAAACAGAGATCGATAAAGTTGTTTTAACAAATACTTATTTCTTGAGCATAGAATCTAGCGAAAAAATAGATATCATTTCAACACAATATGAAATAGTTTATTCAAAAAATAAAAAATAAATTTTACATGAACAAAAAAATCAGAATTTAACCGACCAAAAAAACAACTAAATTAAAAAAAAATCAAATAGATTAATAGACTAAATGGTTATTTTGAATAAATTATTTGAAAATCTATATAAAAGTTAATAATAAATGATTATAAATTGAATTTCAATAATTGCAATTAAAAAAATACCTAATCACTATTTCAATACACCAATCTTAAATTTGTAAATAATCCAACTCTAACTAAATTATGAATTTATATCAAAACTTCTCATACATATGAAATAAAATTTTAATGAGATGAATTTTTTATTTTTTAAGCATAAATCTATTTTGTAATTATATTGGTATAATAAATTATTTATTTTTATCATAACTAAATTATCGGAAGTTATACAATTAAGAATTTGAAGTAAAGTTTAAGTTGTTTTTAATTCGCAGTTGATTATTGATTCAGAAATATTTAATAAAAGATTATTTTTAAAGGGTTTTGTATTTGTAACATAAACAATTACTTAAGATAAAGTACTTTCATTACGTAAAGGCAAGCATTTGAAAAATATCAAAATCAATTATAGCCTATTTAAACTATATGGTTAATAGTTTAATGATGAATAATTTTAAATTAGTTTTACTTATGAGTGTTAGGGATTGTATCTCATTGATTAAAACCATTAAGCAATAGTTAGCAAAAAATTCACAAGAAATGAAAAAATAATCTTATTAATTATATCTTTAAAGACAATTAAGAATGCCTGTATGAGCAATCTATAAACCAGTTTTGAAGATTTCTATGGCTAATTGGAAATTTAATATCTTTATTCTCAATTTTAAATTAGCCTTTATGATGTGGATGAAGACTATATAAATCAAACAGAAAAAACTAAATATCCATGGGTAGAAGTAAATCTCAGTTTATTTGATCATAAATACTTCTTCCTAAGAAATTGTTTAGAAAACAAGGACATATTCAAGTCGTTCAAACATAAAATTCAATTTAAATAATTTTATCGTATCATTCAATGATTAATAAGCTTTTTTAAACTTTGAATGCAAAGTATATTGTTATGAATATAATCAGAATCATAAAGTTGAAGAAAACTTATTATTAAAAAAAGATTGTAGAAAAAAATTATTGATTTATATATAAAAATTTATCATTATATCAATTTAAGAGTATAATCATTCAATTTTATTATCAAAAATGATATTTTTATGATTCTAAATTAATGTTAATTTTTCATAATATAGCATATAGTTTATCTCTTATTTGAATCTTGATTGATTGGTATCTATAATTGTTGGTACCTGTTGGTATTTTTTATTTACTCCATAAAATATATAAAATGGATAAATTTAACTAATATAAATATTTTCGAGTAATAAAAATCTATTGCAAACAAAAAAATAGAAATAATAGTAGAAACAATTATAATTTCTATGTATTACCTTCAAGGTTAATGATAATCATAACCACTAGCACAATATCGCAATATCACAATGAAAAGTTCTTAATTTCTTTTTGAGTTTGCATGGTAAGCATCATACTCTCACTTCTAGTTACTCCAGTTAAAGTAAATATGAGTTCAGTGATCAAAGAAAACATATTTTCAATATTTAGCCACTCAGTATGGATGCCTAAATTAATAGTATAAAAATTATTGTTCAATCTATCTAGTTATGATAGAAGTAGGTCTAATGTATGCACCATTAACTTTATTCCTTTGATTCTTCCACTTAATTCATAAATTTTTATTTCTATCTGCCTAAAAATTCGATCCTTGATAGAAAGCAAAATGTTTGATTTTTTCTTCAATTTAACCTCATTTACTTCATTATCTTCAATACCTTATTTATTATTTTTAGATGTTGATTTTTATATGTATGCTATGATACAGCCATTTTGTAAATGTTTGATTATTTTATTAAATACATCTGAAATTATTGACATAAAATTTCTATTATAAATTAAAAATAAATTCTTTTATATTATAAGCCTTCTAAATGAGACTAAGGTATAAAAATTCGTAAGCATATTAGTAGATTCATATGCGTTTAGAGATCTTGTTGCATTTCAATAAGATTTTGATTCGTGCATTGTTATGCTTGTATTCCAATGTGTGTCTCAAATTGTCATTATATTTATGATAAAATTCAAAGTAGCAATATTAAATGACATAAATGGATAATAATGAAATAAACTTGATTCTCAATCCCTTCAAGCAAAATAGCATTTTTTCATTCTTAAACAAACAAATAACAATTCGAAATATGATCGTAGAATTATTAAAACTTTATATCTAAAAATAATAATAATCATTATTATTTATTCCTGGTAAGACACTAGATTTATCATAATCAGTTCTATCTAGTTGTGTTATAGCATTCATATTTTAATGAGTCTGGAGCATGTTAGCTATTTCTTCTAAATCTTCTGTTTTATGTATTTTCATCCCTTCTTATTTTCAAATTTCTCAGTTTTCTTTTGAAATTTTTTATATTTTCTTCAATCTAATCTCTTTATTTGTGAATTTTTTATTCAAATAAAAAGTCTTTCTAGATTATATTCTGATCTTTTTTAGGGTTAGATGCACATTTGACCGAATTACTGATGGAGCCTTCACCATCCAAGATAGAAATATTTTTAATTTATATAAATTTAAAAATTTATTTTACAAAAAACAAATAATAAGCTAAGTAAATATTTTATTTTGTTTAATTTAATAATGAGTAATTTAAGTCTAATATAATTTATACGGATTATAATCGTAGCCTAATCTGGATATGGTTCTAATTCAGTCAACATAAATAAATCATTACATATTTGCCATCAGTTTTATTTTTTCCTATCTTTCCAAAGATAATATCAAGCCGAATTAGATGGTCATAGTAATGGAATCTTGTCTGTCTGTTTATCTCATCATACCATTTATTCATGATTGGAATGGCAAAATAATCATTTTTTTGATTAAAGATATAAAGAAATTAAGGTTTAATTTGATAGTATTTCTTTTTCATTACAACCATTTAACATTAAGTGATAAATATGGGTCTAATAATATCAGTCTAAGTTTTTCCAAAAAGGCAATTTTTAATCTTTTCAGCAAGTTTTTCAATTAAAAACCCTTTATCTAGTTTAAGAAGTGAAGATGAGGAGTGAACGTAATATAGAGAAAATTAAAAAAAAATAATTAATAATTTATTGTAATAATAATTATAATATTGTAAATGAATAATCATGCTCAATTTTACTCTTCTAAAAAGCAACTTCCTTTTTGTTTGAATAATGTCTTTAAATCAATACCTGATTGGTTAGTGAATTCTCCTTTCAAAATGAGTGCTCCTTATGCTTAAAATGTTGCCTTTTAGGATATTAGGAGAGTAGTGATGTAATTGTAGGCTAAAAATATGATAGGGGATAAATACTACCTTTGGAAATATGGCTATGTTATTGGAGTGGAATCTTAAATTATGCAAGAATATCTTTGTAGTCTTAATCATAGGATTTAATTTCATATACTGTCTTTAAATCCCATAAACAGATAAACTAATCACTACCACCAGAAGCTAATGTATTTGAAACAGGAGAGAAACAAACTGAACAGACAGTTCCTCTATAACTATCTAATTTTTCTTTTTATTATCCTGTTTTGACATCCCATAGACGGATAGACTTATCTTCACTACCAGAAGCTAATGTATTTCCATCACGAGAGAAACAGACCGAGTTGACAGACCAAGAATGACCATCAAATTTGGCTTTTTATTATCCGGTTTTGACATTCCATAGACGGATAGAATTATCATTACTACCAGAAGCTAATGTATTTCCATCAGGAGAGAAACAGACTGAGTTGACAGTGCTAGTATGACCATCTAATATGAATATTTATTGTTGTTTGTATAAATCCCATAAACGGATAGAGTTATCCCAACTACCAGAAGCTAATTTATTTTCATTAGGAGAGAAACAGACAGAATTTACATCATTTGTACCTTCTAATTTGAAGTTGAATTAAAATTCTTTTTTTTTGACAGCCCATATAAAGATTAACTTATCACTACTACCAGATGCTAATGTTTTTCCATCAGGAGAGAAACAGACTGAGTTGACAGTGCTAGTATGACCATCTAATATGAATATTTATTGTTGTTTGTATAAATCCCATATAAAGATAAACTTATCACTACTACCAGATGCTAATCTTTTTCCATCAGGAGAGAAACAGACTGAGTTGACAGTTTTAGTATGGCCAATCAATTTGAATAATTAGTATTATGATTATCCTGTTTTAACATCCCATAGATGAATAGAGTTATCCCTATTACCAGATGCTAATGTATTACTATCAGGAGAGTAACAGAGAGAGTTGACATGATATGTATACCCATCTAATTTGGCTTTTAAATATTCTGTTTTGACATTCCATAGACGGATAGAGTTATCATTACTACCAGAAGCTAATGCATTTCCATCAGGAGAGAAACAGACTGAGTTGACAGTGCTAGTATGACCATCTAATTTGGCTTTTTATTATCCTGTTTTGACATCCCATAGACGGATAGAGTTATCGCTACTACCAGATGCTAATGTATTTCCATCATCACAAGAGAAACAGACAGATTTTACACCATTTGTATGACCATCTAATTTGGCTTTTTATTATCCTTTTTTGACATTCCATAGACGGATAGAGTTATCATTACTACCAGAAGCTAATACATTTCCATCAGGAGAGAAACAGACTGAGTTGACAGTACTAGTATGACCATTTAATGGGAATATTTCTAGCTTTTTTTAAACATCCCATAGACGGATAGACTTATCATAACTACCAAAAGCTAAAGTATTTCCATCAGGAGAGAAACAGACTGAGTTGACAGTGCTAGTATGAACAACTAATTTGAATATTTTGTTCTTTTTCTTAACATTCCACAGACGAATAGAGTTATCACCACTACAAAATGCTAATGTATTTCCATCAGGAGAGAAACAGACTGACATAACACAATTAGTATGAACATTTAATCTTTCGTTTAAGTATTATCCTGTTTTGACATCCCATAGACGGATAGAGTTATCACTACTACCAGATGCTAATGTATTTAGGTCACTAGAGAAACAGACTGAGTTGACAGTACTAGTATGACCATCTAATTTGGCTTTTTATTATCCTGTTTTGACATCCCATAGACGGATAGACTTATCATCACTACCAGAAGCTAATGTATTTCCATCAGGAGAGAAACAGACTGAGTAGACATAACTACTATGACCATCTAATTTGGCTTTTTATTATCCTGTTTTGACATCCCATAGACGGATAGACTTATCATCACTACCAGAAGCTAATGTATTTCCATCAGGAGAGAAACAGACTGAGTAGACATAACTACTATGACCATCTAATTTGGCTTTTTATTATCCTGTTTTGACATCCCATAGACGGATAGACTTATCATCACTACCAGAAGCTAATGTATTTCCATCAGGAGAGAAACAGACTGAGTAGACATAACTACTATGACCATCTAATTTGGCTTTTTATTATCCTGTTTTGACATCCCATAGACGGATAGACTTATCATCACTACCAGAAGCTAATGTATTTCCATCAGGAGAGAAACAGACTGAGTAGACATAACTACTATGACCATCTAATTTGGCTTTTTATTATCCTGTTTTGACATCCCATAGACGGATAGACTTATCATCACTACCAGAAGCTAATGTATTTCCATCAGGAGAGAAACAGACTGAGTAGACAGAACTAGTATGACCATCTAATTTGGCTTTTTATTATCCTGTTTTGACATCCCATAGACGGATAGAGTTATCGCTACTACCAGATGCTAATGTATTTCCATCATCACAAGAGAAACAGACAGATTTTACACCATTTGTATGACCATCTAATTTGGCTTTTTATTATCCTTTTTTGACATTCCATAGACGGATAGAGTTATCATTACTACCAGAAGCTAATACATTTCCATCAGGAGAGAAACAGACTGAGTTGACAGTACTAGTATGACCATTTAATGGGAATATTTCTAGCTTTTTTTAAACATCCCATAGACGGATAGACTTATCATAACTACCAAAAGCTAAAGTATTTCCATCAGGAGAGAAACAGACTGAGTTGACAGTGCTAGTATGAACAACTAATTTGAATATTTTGTTCTTTTTCTTAACATTCCACAGACGAATAGAGTTATCACCACTACAAAATGCTAATGTATTTCCATCAGGAGAGAAACAGACTGACATAACACAATTAGTATGAACATTTAATCTTTCGTTTAAGTATTATCCTGTTTTGACATCCCATAGACGGATAGAGTTATCACTACTACCAGATGCTAATGTATTTAGGTCACTAGAGAAACAGACTGAGTTGACAGTACTAGTATGACCATCTAATTTGGCTTTTTATTATCCTGTTTTGACATCCCATAGACATATAGAGTTATCACTACTACCAGATGCTAATGTATTACCATCAAGAGAGAAGCAGACCGAGAGAACACTATCAGTATGACCAATTAATTTGTCGTTTTATTATCCTATTTTAACATCCCATATGCGGATAGAGGTATCACTACTACCAGATGCTAATGTATTATCATCAGGAGAGAAACAGACTGACATCACTAAACCACTATGACCGTCTAATTTGGCTTTTTATTATCTTGTTTTGACATCCCAAAGACGGATAGAGTTATCGCTACTACCAGAAGCTAATGTATTACCATCAGGAGAGAAACAGACTGATTAGACAGTACTAGTATGACCATTTAATGGGAATATTTCTAGCTTTTTTTAAACATCCCATAGACGGATAGAGTTATCACCACTACCAGAAGCTAATTTATTACCATCAGGAGAGAAACAGACTGATTAGACAGTACTAGTATGACCATTTAATGGGAATATTTCTAGCTTTTTTTAAACATCCCATAGACGGATAAAGTTTTCATCACTACCAGATGCTAATCTTTTTCCATCAGGAGAGAAACAGACAGAGTTGACAGATTTAGTATGACCAACCAATTTGAATAATTTTTTCTTTGTCTTAACATTCCATAGACGTATGGAGTTATCACCACTACCAGATGCTAATGTATTCCCATCAGGAGAGAAACAGACTGAGTAGACACCATATGAATGACCATCTAATGTAGCCATTTATTTTCCTGTTTTGACATCCCATAGACGGATAGACTTATCATTACTTCCAGAAGCTAATCTATTTCCATCAGGAGAGAAACAGACTGACATAACATAGTTACTATGACCATCTAATTTGGCTTTTTATTATCCTGTTTTGACATCCCATAGACGGATAGAGCGATCACTATTTTAACTAATCATACCACCTGCAGAAGCTAATGTTTTTCCATCAGGAGAGAAACAAATAGATCTTACTTAATCTCTATGACCATCTAATTTACTTAATTCGGGGATTCTTAAATGCTTCCATTTACAATTCAATAATAATGCTCCATTCAAATTCATCTAACTTATATTAACATTAACAAATTATGATCCACTTAAATTACACCTAACAAAATTACCTCCTACTAAAGAAGTATTTTAGATTTTAATATTTTCAAAATTTTTCTTTCTAAGGTCCACCTTCATCAAAACTAATATATATAATGAATTAGACCCACATTATATTAAAGTGTTATCTATAGATGTGAGGTGAACTAAAAATTACAAAAATTCTATCATCACTCTATCATCCTTTATGCTTTATAGAAGATACAATATAGATTTATTATTGTTTTCACAAGAATAGTCTTTCTTATTAAAGTTATGATCTTTCATATCTCTTAAGAAATTAGTAATTATTTTCACGTCATTTCTTACAACAGACAATTTCTATCTATTCTCAATCTATGTTAGATTTTCTTCTTGTATGATATATTATTCTAAATGTATTTAATTTTCATTAAATTAAAGATATCCAATGCAGTCTTAAACTTTTTCCTTTCGAAATATTTTCAATATGAGACTAAATATTTGTTCATCTACATCTTTAATTTTAGCAAATAATTCAGCTAGAGCTTGCTCCCATAAGAAATACGGATACATTATCTTTTTTTATATTAATATTGAATTTCTATTACTCTAACTATAAGTTTATACTGCAAAATCGCTAAAAGTATCTTGCTGCATTTCTGTAAAATAGAAGTTAAGACTTTGTGGAGATTTGGAATCGATTGTAGTAGATGTTAATTATGCTATTGAGAATTCTTTTCAACATCTGCATTACTTGATTTTTTAATAATATAGAATATTTTTATTTTATATGAATATTTTAATTTATACAAAAATTGAGTTCTATGATTAATTCATTAATTTTTCTTGTTTATCTTTAAATTTTAAGCTAATTGTTTTAAGATTGGAATATGTCTTACTATTGTAATTAGATTTTTGGATTTATAGTTGTAATAAATGAGGTAAGGTATGTTGATTACTGTGAAAGATCAATTTTCTGTAATAATTTTACTTTTTTTATTATTTTATAAAATAGTATTACCACAATCTTTGAAAAAAAACAAAAGGAAAAAGTGAAGATGTACTTTTTGTAAAAATTGCTTCCACATTTTTGTTGAAATGAAAAGTGATATAAACTTAAGGTGTTAACCAATATTCTTAGAATTGTACTCTCTTTTAGAATGATGTTTGATATGTCCATATTTATTATGACCCATTTTTTATCAAAAACCCATATAGATGGTGTTGATTTTTTAAAAATATTTAAGAAAATGCAATACCCCCCCTTAGGGTTTGGGTTTGGGTTTGGG